TAATAGATAAAGAATGCTCCCTATGTTGGCTTAGCAGTTATGGAGGGACCCTATGCTCAGCCCCCTGACTGAGGGAAGGCTTTTTTCTCCGCGTGGTACAAAGAGGTAGGTGTTTGAAGGCTCTGGTTAAGAATTTGGAATTTATTTTCATGTAAAGCAGCTGCGTGACCCATAAGTAACTTGGAGACCAGGACCTACCTTTCACTTCTGTGCTGAGTCTAAAGAGATCTCCTGTGCTGCCTCTCTGGTCCAGGCCGGCAGCTGCCCACCCTTTTTGTCTGAGGCTGCTGACTCCTCCGAGAAAGCCTCTGAGCAGGTACCTTTGAAGGGTGGGGCTCAGGTTTGAGTCTGGGTTCTGCATGCTCGGGCATCGTGGGCATCGCCGGGTCCTCAGGGAGGATTTCAATTCTGCAGTCTTTGATGTGTGCCTAGGGCATTCTTGCAGCAGTGACGTTATTACAGGTGCATGAGATGGCTGTCATTAGCTTCTGAAAGTGGGGTCCCAAGTCTCCTACTCATCCCCTGGGGCTTCAGAAAAGCCATTTAGGAAACGCCTCAGGAAGCACTCCTGGCCCCACTGCTCCTTCCCTCTGAGGTGGAGGCACATTTTTAGGCCCCAGCCCAAGGCTCTCTGAGATTACGGTCCCATCACTGGGGTGAGTGGCTGCCAGAGTTAAGGCCTGGAGTCTCATACCAGCATCAGCTCAGGGACTCATGGGGTGGGGGTGGGGCAGCCAAACATGCTCTCTGTGGGCTTAATTAAGGGGGTGGGGGGCATGAGGTCACACAGAGAGAGGTACTGGTGCAGGAGCTCCCCATCTGAGCTTCTGAAACTAGGGGACCTGCTCTGGTTACTTCCCAGGCTCCCTCCCTGCCTTGGTGACTTCCGTCTAGTCTTCCTCTCCATTCTCTCTTGTCCCCTCATTTACTGCTGCTGCCCCATTTGTAGGGGATTCCCTGGGAAAGGGGAGATGCTCTTGTGGCCTAGGGATGCGTGGCTGCCCTGCTGTGCACAGTCACAGGCAGGCTCCTCCCACAGGGCTCCTCAGTGGGGCTGCGAGCAGGGTGTACGGATGCCAAAGGGCAGTCCAGGTGCCAGCCTCCTCTTCCACATCCCTCTGGGCCACATCTGCTGGCTTTAGTGACATGAGGGGAGGCCTCCTTCCCGGCAGGCCAGGTAGTTCATGCCGCCATGGAGGAGCCCGCTGGTCACCTCCTGCCCTGAGTGGCTAATTAAAGCTACCCCTTCTACCACCATAGGGCTGACGTCAGGGGCAGAAAGGAGGCCCGGCCATGTCCCAGGATCCCGTGTGTGTGTGTGTGTGTGTGTGTGTGTGTGTGTGTGCGTGTGTGGTCTATGTGTATACCCATGCGTGTAAAGAGAGGACAGGGTGGCTGCCACTCTGGGAGGGTCAGACCACCAGCAGCTGGGAACTGCCCTGCCCTAGGGTCTCCCCCCAGTCGAGTGGGCCTCATCCCATACTTCCTGGGTCCTTCCATTCCTGCAGCTCATAGGAGGAAAACTGCTCCTTGTTTTTTTGGGAAAAAGAATGAGGGAAACCCAATTCCCCCTCCCACCCCAGACCTTGTTCTGTCCTGAGAACATGGTTTAAAATATTCCAGTCACAGGCAGGCTATTCAAATAAAATAGAATCTTAAACCACTGGGGCTTGTTGAGACATTCAGGCTTCCAGGATGTGTGAAAGGCAGGGGGCGGGGCGAGACGGCCCTGCCAGTCTCCCGGCCTCTTTATTCCTGGCAGCTGCGATGCTAGACACATCTGAGTGTGTCTTCCAGCCAAGGGGACACAAGCAGGTCTGACAGCAAGCGACACATAGCAGCCACTGCAAGGCTCCCCTCCCCGGTGGCAACTTTAATTATTTGAACTGGAGTTCAGCAAAAGAAAAAGAAAAAGAAAAGAAAATCTGAAGATATTGTAAGTGACTCCCCAGTTTCCCACAGAGAATAGCTGTTGGGGAATAGGGGGGACAAGAACCCCACAAAGCTCTCATTTGTGGCTGGGTCAGGCAGAGGCCTTTAAATATTCATGCCCCGTATGCAACTGTGCAGAGTGGTGGAGGAGGCAGGGCTTGCACTAAGGCCAGCACAGCGAGAGGCAGCGGCTGGAGGCGCCTGGAGGAGCCCAGAGCTGGCATGCTTCGGGAATGCCCTAGAAGGTGGCTGGTACCACAAAGGCACACCCTGGCTATGTCTCCATCATCGGTGAGCACCTGATCTGGCTCCCTGTGGGCTCTGATGGGTGCTCTCCCAGCGCCTCTGTCTCACCGCCTCTGTCCCCTACCTTGTCATTTCTAATTCCTTCTCTCACTTACCCTTCTGAAAGGCAAATTACATGGCACAATTTGGAGCCACAGGCACTGGAGGAAAACTCTCAGCATGGGCTCAGAATAAATTTCAGTCACGATTGGCCAAGTACTCTCAAGTTTCAGTTTGCATCCACATCATGGAGGTGGGGCTTGAAAATGCAGAGTCTGGGCTCTGCTCAGTGATGCCGTTCAGGGAGCCCAGGGTGGCATCCAAGAATCTGCATTTACTACATGTTACAAGTGACTGCAACTGGAGAAACACGTATTAGATTTTCATGGTTCTCCTACGGAATCCATTGAGGATTGTGGGGTTTCTTGAGAAAGCACTTTGTGATATTCTGCAAGTACTTCAACTCCCTGGAGGTCCCATGGACCTGCCTGCTCTGGGCTTGGAGAAGACGCTTGGTGGTGGGTATCAGCCCTGGAGCCCATCGTGGCTAGCTGCCAGCCTCTTGGGCCTGGCTCTCATTGGAGACCATCCATGGCTCTCTCTGGCACCCACCCTCCTGCACTCGGGCCCCACAGCCAACAGAGGCCCCTGTAGGTCTGCAGGGTTAAGCTCACACAGTCTCACATAGCAGCGCAACATCCATTTCCTGTCACTAACGTTCAGCAGACCCAGGAGAAGAACATCAAGTTCCTGCCTCTGCATTTAGGATTTGGATAAAATAAATGGCAAGGCTTACAACCCTGGAAATGCATATTTCTATTTTGGTTATTTATTTTTCTGATGAAAACACTTCCCCAGCACTGGGGATTCAAAGACCCGTCAGTCCTGGATGAATGTCTGAGAGCCTGAATGGGAAATGACTGTGGGCTGAGGGACGGCTCGCTGCCTCCCCTCCATTACTCCTGCTGAGCCACCTGCTGGAACAGGGCTGGAAACAGCAGAAACAGCCCCGAGCGAATGTGGCCCGAGGAAAAATAAAACAGGCCAGTAAAACAAAAACACGCATTTAAGCTATTGATCAACCCAAAGGTTACTAGAGAAATGATGAAGTGTTAAGAAAATATCATTTTCACCTCGACATTTCTTTTTCTAAAATCAGGCTCTATTAAATCCAGAGAAGAGTAAATTTAAAGATCAAATGCTTTTAAGGATCCCCTCACCTCCCTGGTGGGCCACCGTCTCTCCGCATTTAGATTTCCTCCTAAGAAGCCTTCCTTTCCAGGCGCCTGCTCTGAGGCACCTGAGAAATATCAGCGATGGCGATGACTGTGTAATTCCACCATCTGCATCAGAAAGCGTGGCTTCCCAAATACAATTGAATGTAATGAATCTATTTATTTGTGCCCTGACTTATTCCAAAAAGGATTTAAGGTAGCTCACAGAGATACATAAAAAATCTAGTTAGATACCATAAACTAGAGGAGGGTGAGAAAGATGGGGCAGATGTTGTTATCAACTGGGATCAAGGGTCAGGCTGCTGCAAACAACACATCAGGGAACCCTGTTTGTTCACCAAGAGGGGAGCCTCAGATTTAATTTGACCTTTCTTCTGATTAAAAAAGTTCATTCGTATGTCTTTTCCATTCTCATTCGATTTATGTCTGTGAAGTTTCAGTTCACAGAAATCCTGGAAGGCTTGCATTTGCCTGCACCCCATGGCCGGGAAGCTATGGGTCAGAGCAGCAGCTCCCTGGGGTTCTACCAGCCAGCAGGGAGGAAGCGAAGCTCTCAGTTTCACAAAGTCCACAGCTCGAAGGGAAACAAAATAGTCAGCAGGCAACTAGCTTTCCTGAAACAAGCCAGCAAGGAACTTCTCCTATAAGTTTCCAGAAAGAGAGGATCCACCATAGGCTTTCCACTGTGTGCAAGGTATTTTAAGGGGGGTGAAAGGGGGGGGGAGAGCAAAGAAGCGCAGTCAGGGCCCCGCCTTCCCAGAGCCCGGAGCGGAGAGTCTGATTTTTGACTCGAGTCCCCTGTCTCCCCCGCCCCAACCTTCTGTCGTGTGTTTATACAGGGTGTCGGGCACTGCTAGCTAACTCTTGTCATGCTTAATTTGTGCCAGATGCTATGCTAGCCCTTTGCACTCATTAACTATTTAATTCTCACCTCCTTGGGGTAGGCACTCTTATTGTCTCCACTTTCCAGATGACGAAACTGAGGCCCTGGGAGGTTATTAACTGCCCCCATAAATAGTACAACCAATCAGGGGTGGAACCTGACTGGGACCGTGTTCTAAGCACATTTCTTGGACCTTAGAGAATATGATCTTATGCTAAGAAACATGGCACCACTCCCCCCAATCCTCACCCTAAAGGTAACAGCTAGAAGAACCGTTTGGGTAAGTGACTCTCGAGGTACCGCACTGAATGCCATTGCTGTCTTAGTGAAATCTATGTAAATCAAATTTCTGATGCTCTATAACATTTGTCATGGATAACAAGAGATTGCTATTTTTAAAAAGGATTCTGTAGAAAGTCTTTTGTAAATCACTGCTACCCTCCCCTGTGATGCCTTGGAAGTGTTTTCTGGGTTTGCTTAGATCAAGATCCCACTGCAAAAGCTCAGTGCTGCTGAGGATGGTGTTTAAGGTGAGGTTCTCTGAAGATGGGACTTGACCACGTTGGTGGGCTCTGTCTGCCTGGAAGATGGCGAAGTGGCCCTACTGCCCTCCCTCCAGGAGAACAAGCAGCCTGACCTCAGGCCACTTTGCTCACTGTTTGGGTTCATCTGGAAGTGCAGAGGGGAGAGCGGGAGGAGAAGTTGGAGAATAGAGGAACATCGAGACTTGCCTCGCACGGAGAGTTCTTCATCGGTGCGGGAAACGTGGAGCTGGTCACGGTAGCACTCGAGGAAGTGGGGACCTCAGTGGTGTTGAGCAACAGGGCATGGCCTGGGCAGAGAGGAAAAGAGTCAAAGCTGCACCATCATCACGCACTGAAGGGCCCGGGGGTGCGGGGTTAATAAGTGCAGGGTTCATGGGAACATCTCCTCCAGCCTCTTTGAGGCTGTGGCTTTCTGCTGCCTCCAATGGATAAGACAGCCTGCTTGTCACTGTCACAGAACTTGGCTTGCAAAGGTCTTCATTCCAAAGGGCCAGTGATGTCCTAGCATCAGATAGCTGAGCTTCTGCATCCCTGATCTCTTAGGGTCACCAGCTTTAGCCCAAAGGCCAGGAGCAGCTTGAAGTGCCCTCGACCACCTGCCCCCAGCCCCATCGCTCCCCATTTCCAGTCATGCCCATGCTTTGCCCACCAATGGTCTCTATTACCTTCATTCTCTTCTCCCCCTCCTGGAGTCCAGGCCACCCAGTGTCACATGCCTGACCAAGATTCATTTCTTGTTCCTAAACACTAATCTGCCTGAGAACCTGGAAGAATAGGAGCTCCAGCCCCACCTGCCGGTGGGAGAAGCGTCAGTAAACCACCAGGACTGCAGGGCACTTTGTAGGTGGTCAATGCTCTGGAGACAGGTGCCAGCGAGAGCCCACAACTTTTTAGGCACCCCACAGAACCCCAGGCAGGACTTTAGTCATTCATTTCTACTTTTCTCTGTCTCTTAACGAAGTTCATTAATGAGTTACTACCAAGTTACAATTCAGGTGGGTCCAGAACAGAGAACCAAGATGGGCCAGTCATCCTCGAAAGCATGCCGCCCACCCTTGAGGAAGGATCGAGTTGATGGGCTTATGTGACTGGGGAGAGGAAGGACCTCATTCGGTGTGTGGGCCACACCAGTTATCTTTCAATATCTGAAGGGCTGCCTGTGTGACTTCGTTCTGTGGGGGACAGAGACCGTGATCGATGAGTAGACTATACAGGAAGATAGAGCTTATCTCGAGGTAAGGAAAAGGTCTACAATCAGAGCAGTCAGCGGATGAATTCCTTTAGGAGGCGTCAGAGGCATTCAACAAGTGCTGGGCACTTATTCGCTACGGGTGCTGTTGGGGGACAATCAAACTGAGAGCAGAGGCGTGAAGACCACGTCTAGCTTTGAGCTCTGTTTCTCTCTCTGATCGCACAGACATGGTGCTGAGGACAGTGCAGTGCGGCAAGGGGGCTGGGAGGAGAAGCAGGAGCTCTTGGCCCCCACATCTGTGAGGGGCCGCAGAACTCTCCCTTGGCTGCAGTAACTCAGCCTTCTTCCTCACGGCAAAGCCAGCTCACTGGGATGCAGCTCTGAGGACCAAGGACAGAACTGCATGGGCTCTGGGATTTTTAGTGGTTGATCTGGATGGTGTCCACTTTCACACTTTTATAATAATCACTAGAGGCCCAGCGCACAAAATTTGTGCACTTGCAGGTGGGTCCCTCAGCCCAGCCTGGACCCTCTTGCAGTCTGAGAGCCCTCAGGGGATGTCCGACTGACAGCTTAGGCCCGTCCCCATGGCAGTTGGACATCCTTAGCACTACCACAGAGGCAAGAGAGGCTCCCGCCACCGCCGCTGCACTCGCCAGTGGTCAGTGCGTGTCATAGCGACTGGTCATTCCACCATTGTGTCAATTTGCATATTAGCCTTTTATTATATAGGATAATTATAATGAATTCTTGAAGGCATCCATAGGATGTGTGCTCTCTTGGAAAGAGAATAATTCTTGTATGAGGGTCTCCAGCGCCACAAAGAGCAAGCACATGCAGGGGAGGGAAGAGGGGGAGACAGGCCTGCCCTCCAGCCCCATCCTGCAGAGTTGGGCCCTGGGCCTCACCCCCAGGCACAGCACAAGGCTGCATGGCCTGCCTCTCCAGCAGCCCAACTCTCAGAGCTGAGCTGGCCGCACAGAGCCTCTCTCATCCAATCAAGGCAGGTGCCTCTGAGTGTGGAGTCAGATCAGCAGGTATGGTGGCCACTCTTGGGTATTATTAGGTCTCTCTGCTCCTCTGGCAGTTAAGGATGGGTCGTGGGAGGATGGGCTATGGTGCAGGGAGGGAGGGTGTGAGGGTGGGGGTATGGCTGAGGAGGCTGGGCAGCAGGGAATGGACCAGATGGGGGGCAAGGTTCCTAGGACATCACCTTGGGGCCAATGACACAGGTCTCCCTGTGCCTCAGCACCCTCAGTCATAAAGAGGGCTACACTTTTCCTTACCTCTCAATGACTAATGGGCCTGCCACACAGTAGGTCTCAACAAATACTTATCGAATGAATGGATTATCATTACTGTTGCTGCTATTTTTATATTTCAGCTAACCGTTCACCAAGGTTCCCATTTTAAGGAACAAAAGGTGGCATCTACCTGGGCCTGATTCAGTCATTCTAAAGCCCAGGGAAGTGTTTAGAGGACACTGTGTGGAGCACCCAGGGCAAGCTCAGGACAGCTACCCACCCAGGCTTGCCCGGCAGGGTGGGGCAAGGTCCACCTGCCCTGGGCGGTGCCCTAAGTCTCTCATCTGGCTGGGTGGGCACCAGGGGGAAGGAGAGGAGTGGCAGTACCTTGGTGGTCCTGGAACCGGGCCTCCTTTAGGGTCTTGACCTGCCACTGGGGCGCGTGGGGTGAGAGTGTTCCTTGGGACCAGCCACAGAAGCCATCCTCGAAACTGCAGTAGAAACCAGCAGGGAGCTTACCTGTGGGAGGAGCACAGGGACAGTCATTTCCTGGAAGGCTGAATGCAAACGATGCCAAAGTCAAGTATAATTAGCCAGGGTGACCACATTGTCCTCACTAATAACAGCTCCCTCGATGGCTAATGATACTGATCATGGTGGAGAGAGGCCCCAATCCCCAACTTGTACAGGTGTTGGTTTATAATTTTCTAATCTTCAGAAAAAACTGGTAATAATAACAACTCCACAGCAATGGGTATTGTTAACCCAGTTTTAGATATGACAAAGCAGAGGTTCACAGATGTTAAGCAACCTGACCAAGGTCACCTAGCCAGCAGGTAATCCAGCTTGAACCTAGCTCTTCTATTTCTAAACTTACATGGGCCCACAAAGAACATGACCCAGGGAGAAGCCCACGTGTGCTCACTGGACTACACTCCTAAAGCTCAGCCCAGTGGCAAGAACCTAACAGCAGCAGTGGCAGTGTTGGCCTGGAATTGGCTTGGGTCCCTCAAATCACCTCTGTGTGCAGAAACACACTTGCTCAGAACTTCCTTTTTCCAACCCCCTTGCAGTGAAGTGAAGCCACCTGAGCAGTTCTGGCCAATGATGTGAGCGGAAGGGATGTGTGTCTCTTCTGGATGGAGCCTGCGGAAAGCTCTGTGTAATTCTTCAGGCTCCTTTCCCCTGCTGAGGGGCCAAGGAGACTTCCTGTTCCTGGGGATGCTGCTGTATGATGTGGAGCCCCTGCCAGCCTGCGTCCCAGAGAGACCCTTCGGAGCAGAGCCCCTCTCCCAACCCTCAGTGAACAGGGCCTGTGTCAAGTTAAGCCCCTGAAATGTGGGATCGTTTATTACTGCAGCAGAACCTCGCCTATCCTGACCAAGCAATCCCAGTTACTGGAGCCTCTTTACAGCATCTGTTGGCTCAGCATAAATAGCCCCATTATCCTTTTCTCTGCATCAGACTGACCTCAGGTCCCACTGAAGAGGCCACAGCCAGCTTCATAGACCATATTATTTCGCTGCTGCCCACAGAGGGAGGAGGGTAGGGGAGAGGGTTAGAGAGGGCTTATGCTCTACAGCTGACTGGGAGAACAGCTGCAGGGAAGGCACTCAGCCTTGAGAGTGCATTGCAGGCTGTGGTGACAGCGCCCAGCAGTCCCTGGCCCGGCTACGTCCTGTGCAAGAGAGACTGGACCCATGGTGCTGTCCTTCCTCTGTCTAGCCTTCCTGGCAGTGGCAGGCTAACACAGAGGCCCTGACGCACCTGGCTGTGACAGCACCTTCGTGAATTATCACTCATTTCCCCCGATTCTCTGTGCATTTCACACGGAGGCATTATAAATTAAAACAGGCTGGCATGACTTGGACATTTCTTCCCATTTATACCCCCCTGAAGAAGTCGTTTCCCCAAGCCCTGCATGTTCCTCTGATTAAAAATCCAACAGCTAAGGAGACCTTTCTGTTTTATTTTTTATGCGCCCCCTCAAGGGATCCCACAGCCACTTCTTTTGCAAAAACTAACTGGTGACCTTCCGGGGAGTGTCCTTTACAAGCGTGTTTGACCGGGCACTACAATGAGGATGCTAGCAGGTGATGGGCTCCCGTTAGGAGGAGGAGGCAGGGCTGAGCTGGGGCCTGCAGGGCACATCACCCTCGCCTCCCCCTTTCAGGAGGGGAGGGGCAGATCTTGATTCGTGGGTGCTGATACCTCAACAGCCCTGGAGTGGGACAACTGCACTCTAGCCTAGCCTCTCTGTTGCATACTGTGCTACCTCAGACAAGCACTTCCTTCCTCAGCCCCAGCTCCCTCCTCTGTGAAATGGGGTGATAGTAGTGTCTATGTCAGTGATGGCGAACCTTTTGAGCTCCACGTGTCAGCATTTTGAAAAACCCTAACTTAACTCTGGTGCCGTGTCACATACAGAAATTTTTTGATATTTGCAACCATAGTAAAACAAAGACTGATATTTTTGATATTTATTTTATATATTTAAATGCCATTTAACAAAGAAAAATCAACCAAAAAAATGAGTTCGTGTGTCACCTCTGACACGCGTGTCATAGGTTTGCCATCACTGGTCTATGTCATAGGGCTGTTTTGAGGACAAAATGAAAGAGAGAGTGTGGAAACATTTTATAAACAGACAGGGTTGAGCAAATACACAGAAATGGCGGCATTATTCATCATCCTTCTCCCCCGGGCAGGGGAGCTCGTGAGGGAGTGCGCTACAACAGTCCAGTTACCCGGAGGCAGAGACAGTCCCTCAGCTGCCTCTCTGGAGACGCCTGTGCCTTCCACCTGCGCCAGCGGCTCTCCACCTCCTAGCCCACCTTGGTCCAGCTTGGCACAGGATCCAGGGTGAGCTGGGACTAGAAGCCCCTTTCTTTTCAGGAGGTCGGCAAAATCGGTCACTGGACAATTTATGTGATAACTAAGACCTCGAAGAGTGGGTGGGGAGGCGATGAGACGGTATCCACTACTGCAAGCACATGGGCTGTGTGTTCAGCAAAAAGCCACTCCTAAGGAAGCTGGTGGGCAAGGGCATCAGAGCAGAGGCCCTTGGTGGGTTAGGCTGTGTTTGGGAAATTGCCACTAAGGCCAATTGCTGAGCACAACGTTGGCACACAGGGTTGGCCTAATGTCAGCTCCTCCTCCGATCATCCTTTGCTCCTCTCATCCACCCCAGGCACCCGAGCAGGGCTTGGCACACTGCAGGATCGCCGTACTTAGCTGCGGATGAAGTAGGAGTGAGTTCAGTCCTCTTCACCCTGTCACTCAAAATGTGGTCCAGGGACCAGCTGCACCCGCATCGCCTGTGAAACTATGAGAAGTGTGGACTCTCAGGTCCCCCCCGCCAACCCCATCCCCAGAATTGGAATCTGTATTTTTAACATTCCTAACGTCTGAGCAGCACTGCTCTACCCCACCCTCTCCTTGGGCTGCAGCCAGATATTTCATTGGCCGGATGGCAAGTCGGGCTGTGTGTGGGTCAATCAATCCCACAACATTGGCAATTATGACACCTGATTCCACTCTAAGAGAGACAGATTTGTGGAGTCACAGAGATGTGACCTCAGCAACAGCTGCAGGAACTGCCAACTACAAACTCCAGGCCAAATGACACCACTTCTTTTCCTTCCTGTGTGACAACTCGGTTAACATTTTTGATAAATATGTGTTATACATTTCCTTGAAAATATAGAGTCATGGGGAAAAATGTTAGAAGAAATACATCAAAATATTATGGTTATCTCTGAATGTCTGAGAGGGAGGATTATGGGTGGTAGTAATTTTCTTCTGTGTACTTCTCTAGATTTTTCAAATATTTTACAACCAACATGTTTTATTTTACAATAAAGAAACATAAAAAAACCTGTTTTGCCTGACAGGAAAAGTATCCCCACTAAATAGATGAGATTATTAAGTACATGGAGGGGAAGTGAGCTGCTTGCAAATACCTGGTGAGTCAATGGCCCATCCAGGGGATGAAGCGAGAACACCTTAGCCTTTCCTGGGGAGCCACATGCCATGAGGGTCACTGCTCGACATCCAGGGGCCCTTGAAGACACCCTTCGATGGGTGATAGCGTCCTGGATGTCTCACTTGAATCAGTAACATTTAATTGGAATGAGGGAAGAAGGATGGGTTTGGAGGACCAGGTGTGGATAGACAGGTTGGTGATTAGATGGAGAAGGGCAAGGGCAATGCTGCCACCTCCATTTCAGGTCCCTGCTTATCTCAGACAGAGAGATATTGCTTGGGGTTGAGTTTGAGAATCGAGTGAAACCCCAGTAGGTGTGGGGAATTCCTTCTGGGGAGAGAGTGGAGTGAGGCTAAATTGATGGGATACAGTCTACTTTTCCCTTCAAATTCCAACCATGGCCAAGCTTGGTTGACTACCCTGGACCAAGACTGGCGACCCTTGTGGGGGTTCCTTAGAAGATCTGGACATCCCCAACAGGTGAGCTCCTGCTCAGAGAAAACATTCGAATAGGTTCCAGACTACCTGGGAAGGACCAGGTGAGGTCAAGAGCATTGGACATCAACACATACCACATCAGTGGCATCATGCTCCAACTCACATTACAGATGAGGAAACTGAGGCCCAGAGGTGGGGATGAGTGATCTTACCCCACCCCACTCCCCAACCTTTTCCTGGTCCCTTCCTCCTGGGTGGAAACATAGCTAGGGTTGTGCTCGGCAGAACCAGCTGCTAGAAACTCACAGAACAAGAGTCTGGCTTGTAGTGGTTCAGAGTGTGGGCTTTGAAGTCAGACTGAGTCTGAATCACTGCTCAGCCACTGGCTAACAGTTTGACCATGGACTTCAGGTTCCTCATCTCTAAGATGGGTGTAATGGCATCACATAGGATCGCTGTCAGGGTGAAATAAGTTAATACATGCAAAGTGTTTGGAGCAGCTCCCAGTACATAGTAAATGCTCAATAAATGTTAGCCAATATTATTACTACCATTGCTATCTTCACGGGGATGGTTTCCAGGTCAACACCAGTCAATGTGATAGGGAAGACAGCAAATATCCCACAGAGAATGGGGCACACAAACAAGGAGAAGGATATTGGCTAGTAGTACTGTAAAGATCAGAGTGGCAAAAAGATCGAAATAACTCTCCTTCTGAATTGAACTTCTCTTCCTAGCAACCGATTTCTGTAGCAAAGACCTTGGTGGGGGTACTCGCCAGTGTGGAGCTGTCATTCGACAGCTGGTCAGAGCAGCTGCTCAAGTTCGGCTGAAAAGGCCACAGGGCCCCAGGTGCCTGCCCTCGGGCCCGCAGCTAGGCTGCCCTCCAGCTTGGAGTTGGTCCTGGAAACTTGTTAATGGCAAGTCCCTGAATGGTGGGAAAATGCCCCGAGCTCGCAATAATGGCCAGATCCCGCAGGCTCAATGCTCTAATCATGGCTCTGTTCCTGATGTGCTGTGTGACCCGAACAAATCAATTACCTTCTCTGTGGTTTCATTTTCCCAATTGTAAATCAGGGCATGCCCTGCCTGACCTGTGTCCCTGCTGGGAAGTGGGCATCAAGAAACTAAAAAAAAAAAAAGGCAAAAGCAAAATCACACAGCTCAGAGGCACTGCTGGAAATACTGCAGAGACCAGTAACTAGAGACACACAGAGGCCTCAGCCTGGGCAGCTTGGTGGCTAGGTTCATTTGGGCCACATGCAGAGTGAAAGTCTGCGAGACAGGCCAGGAGCCAGACAGTGTGGGCAGACAAGGTGCCTACCTGCAACTCCTTACTGAGTTGATCTAAACAACCACAATTCCGCCATTATTGGAAAACTTTTGCATAAAAGGTAGTTTTTAAGTTGAAAAATGGATTTCTTTATTGCTTCATTTATAAGAGAATAAACAAAACCATTTTTCCCCCAAGGGAAAGTCTGTCCTCCAGATGACCTGGGAAACACTTAACTTTTTAAAGCTATTTTGCAGGCCAGTGTCACGGGGCTGGTATCTAGGAGGTGAGCATTGGCTGCTGTGTCTGGGCCCCACAGCACCCAGGCACGCACCTGCTGCCCGCTGCCCGACCCTGCTCTGTTGTTTCCCCTCCTGCCCCATGTTGGAGTTTCAGCATCGAGGACAGGCGCTGTGTTTTCAGCTCTGCTCCAGGATCTAGCATATTTACTAGCTCGTATCATATGTGTACTGTGTTTTCGGTTTCCCTGGGGAAAATGTAAAAACCTCTAGTGTTTACTCCTAGCCAAATAGCTACTGAGGACACTGTATTGAAGTGGAGTGAGCACTGGGCTGGGAGTCTAATGCTGTTACTAACTACCAGTGAGACCTTAGCAACTTGTTTTCCTCTATGGAGCCCAAGTCTTCCAACTCATTTATTCATTTTAGTGAACAAAGAGTCAGTTGTGCCAGGAGTCACTTGAAATATTGGTACAGGGAAGAGTACCAAACCCCATCTGCCCACAGAGAGGGAGAGAAACATGGAAACCACCCTCATAAAATGCAATGGATGTGCACCCACTAAGATGGCTAAAACAGTCAGGCAGATAATAATAAATGTTGGCAAGGATGTGGAGACATTAGAACTGTTATACATTACTGGTGGGAATGTAAGATGGTGCAGCACTTTGAAAACAGCTTTGCAGTTCCTCAAACTGTTAAATATAGAGTTATCATATGACCCAGCAATTCTATTCCTATCCTAGGCATATACCCAAGAGAAATAAAAACATCTGTCTACACAAAAACTTGTACATAAATGTCCACAGCAACATTATTCATAATAGCCCCAAAGTGGAAACAACCCAAGTGCCCGTCAACCGATGAAAGGCTAAACAAAATGTGGTTATCTGTACAATGAAATATTATTTGGCAATAAAAATACACAAAGGACTGATACACACTGAAACATGGGTTACCCTTGGAAACATTATGCTAAGTGAAGAAATTAATCACAAAAGACCACATATTGTATGGTTCTATTTGCATGAAGTGCCCAGAACAGGCAAATCTAGAGAAACAGAAGGTAGATTATGGTTGCTTATGGCTAGTGGAGGGGGCACAGTTGGAGGAAAGTAGGGAAAGATTTCTAGGGGTGTCTTTGTGGAGTGATAAAAAATGTTCTAAAACTAGTAGTGATGGTGGCACAACCGTGACTATGCTAAAAAGCACTGGCTTGCATACTTTAAGAGAGCGGGTTGTATGGTATATGAACTATATCTAAAAAAAAAGGCTGTTAAAAAATAATGGACGCTATGGTGGGTGGAAGATACACCGAGTTGGGACAGGAGGTCCAGAGAAAGAAGAACCAACTGTCTTGTGGGGCTGGTCAGAGGAGGTTTCCCAGAAGAACCCACTCCTGAGGGGTGTCTTGAAGGAGCAGATGGGACTTGAGAAGGGACAGGGCATTCTGGGCAAGTGATACCGCACACAAAGCCACGGAGGTTTGAGGGAGCTGAGAAGCAGTCTGATATGGCTGGGCCTGGGGTACACGGGAGCCTGGGAGGATGAGAAAGGCGGTGGGTGGTGAAAGATGAGGATTGAAAAGTGAGGGAAGTCCGGGCTTCCAAAGTCATGTTACAGAGCTGGGCATTCGTCCGACCATGTCCTCTGTGCACGAGGATATTGAGGGCATAACTTATAAGATCTTGTTTGGTTCTTAACTTTCATGCTGTTTCTGGACCACACTGTTATCACTCCACAGATCTTAGCTCTGTCTCTTGAAGACTGTGTAGCTTTTGAAAGTTGCCACTGAGACGAGACGCATATGGCACTGGACATAGAAAGGCTGTCCATGTTGGAATGCATGGGGTGATGGGGCAGGAGAGGGAGGTGAGCGTGGCTGGGGTGGGGTGGGTACAGCAGCTCATCTACTCACTGCAGAGCTGGTCCTCGTCTTCTCCCTGGGCGCAGTCCTGGTGGAAGTCGCAGGCCTGGCCAAGCTGGAGGACTGTCCCGTTCCAGCAAGTGAAGGAACTCTGCAAGGCCATCTTGGAGCCTGGGGATGTCCCTGTAGAGCACACAGAGACACAGGCCAGGTCAGTGTGGGTGGCCTGGCTGCTCAGATCCCAGTGGCCTGAGACACCGGCGTCTCAATCTGGCCACACCCAGGGGCAGCACCAGGAGGCTGCGAGGAAGTCAAAGCCCTAACAGCCCACAACCCCCTGGGGACCTCATTTCCTAGTGATGGGGAGTAGCAGAGTGGCCAAGGTTTGTCTACGTCCCCTCAACAGTCTGGGGTCCTCAAACCCATGGCTTTAGTGTGCCAGATGGACAGCCTGCAGGTGGGGCCTCATCTGCACACAGACAGCTCTACCTTCAAGGTCGTATTTGGGGTCTCAAGGGGACTACCTGGTCCAGTGTATGTCCCCCATGTTCTTGACCCTGGATGCCAACACTGCAGTGATTCTAGAAACGTGCAGTACTCTTGGCTGTGGAACACGAGGAGCACCACTGTGAGGACCAGCCCTGGACCGGCCTCTCCGTGACTGGCTGTGTGATGCTGACCTTGTCCCTTCTCTGGCCCCCTGTCTCTCCATTTACAAAAGGAGGGGTTTGGACCATATTTCTAAGGTCTGTTCCAGTTCTGAAATTCTAGATAAATATATTATCCAGTGGAGGATGGGAGAGGGCGCAGTTCACAATGAAATTGTTAGCAGTTATTTGTTTCTGTATCAAGAACAAAGTGTTATGATAATTAATTAACCTGTGACCCAGAGAGCCAGGCTCCAGGGAAGAGAAGGCTGCACTGGCTGAGCATGCCCTACCGAATGGGCACTTTGCCTGGGACCACCTAGCAAGGGCTGGTGCTTCTGATGGCACCTCCTATTGCCCAGTGTGTGGGATGCAGGAGCCTCTGGCCCATGAGGAGATGAGCAGGAAGGGCCAACCCCACGCCTGGCTGCCCTGCACTCCATCCTCTTTTCTAGCTCCATCCCTGCGGCAGCCAGTGCCTCAGCAGTCTCCATCCCATCCACCTCAGTGCTCAGCTGGGTGGCGGAGAGAATGACCCAGGATCCCCACTTGGGGGTCCTACAGCTTCTCTGAGCATCATCTCGGGTGGGCTCCTCCAACCCTGGCTATGAAATCAGACTGGTCTTTATTAGATTTTATTTTAAGAAAATCTCCCAGCTGATTGTGATGTGGGACTCTCCAGTTAGATGACTTTTAATACCTAAAATTCCATGATTTTCTGGTTCAGTGGACGGTTCCCAGTAGCATGGGCACTACCACCAAGTCCAGCCTGCTGACTTCTGGGATGCCTTTGTGTGTCTCAGCACATCAGCTTTGCAGGGAAGCTAGGCAGTCTTAACAGTGCCCGTTTCCTTAGTGGGAAACTGAGTCAGAGAGCTGCAGTAACTTGCCTAAGGTCATGAAGTTGGTCCATGGGATTCAGGCCCCATGTGTCAGACAGCAAAGCTGTTCTCTCCATCTCACGGGAGGGGAGCACTGGAGGTGGCCTTGGCCCCTCTTTCCCAACCTAGTCTAGCTGAGGCTCAACTTGTAAGCTGATGGCAGGTGGCCACTCGGCCCTGTCAGATGGGTCTCCAGGCTGGCTGGGCATTCTTGGTAACTCCTGGATGTGGGAAACCAGGCCCTGCTTCCCTCAGGGAATCACATCCAAGTTTTTTTTTTTTTTTTTTTTTAATTGGTTTCAGAGAGGAAGGGAGAAGGAGATAGAGATGGAAACATCAATGATGAGAGAGAGTCATCAGTTGGCTGCCTACTGCACACCCCCTACTGGGAATCGAGCCTGCAACCCAGGCATGTGCCAGACTGGACTGAACCAAGATCTCCTGGTTCATGGATCAACGCTTAACCATTGGGCTGGGTACATCCAAGTTTTTAAACCTGCTTTTCAAGGTCCTTTGTGATCTGGGCCCAAATTCCTTTCCTGTCTCATCTGTCTGTCTCTCCCCATGAACCCTGTGCTCCGGACTCAGCACCGATTCCATGCACCCTGGCTCTAGGACCAGCTCTAGTGTCTGCTTCCATCTTCTCAGCAGGTTGTCTGGACCTCTGTGTCCTCCCCCTCTCCACCCCCAGCCCTAGCCACTGCCTGGCCCCTAAGAGGGCTCACAGACAGCCTGCACATTAGGTTACCTATCTGTGAATGGCTGCATAATGGACCCACCCAGAGACCCACATCCTAACCCCCCACAGCGGCAAATATGTTACTTTATGTGGTAAAGGGACTTTACTAACGTGGTTAAGCAAAGGACCTTTACATAGAGGAGATTCTTCTGGATTACTGAGGTGTAACCCAAGGTTCTTACGGAGAGCAGCAAGAAAGACAGGTAAGAAGTAGGAGATGCCATGAGGGCAGCAGGAGTTTGGAGTCAGGAGCCAGGAGATGCAGGCAGCCCCCAGAAGCCAGAAAAGGCAAGGGCCGGGTTCTCCGTGGACCCTCCAGCGGGAGCCTGCTCTGCTCTCACGACTTAGCCAGAGAAAATGACTTCAGACTCTGCCATCAGGAACTCTAAGGGAATAAATGTGTGTTGTTTGAAGCCACCAAGCTTGTGGTAGTTTGTTACAGCAGCCACAGGAAACGAATGCACCATGTAACCCAGACTCCAGCTGCAATGGAAGACAGTCCTCGGAGACCCCGAGCTCTGAAGCCCAGCACAGCCTTAGATCAACTTCTCAGTTCCTTAACTGCTCTGTGACTAGATCGCTGTGGTTCCCTGGCCTGGTCCCCTCTGCCCCTTTCTTCCTCACACAGAAGGAAAAATGTCACCCCTATCTGTCCCTGTGCCTCAAGATAGCCTAAGTCAATGGTTTCTCCAAATTCCTCCAAATTCCAAGAGCAGGGACATGCACAACCTGTCAGTCATGTCCCTTTGGAGGCTGGGAAGTAAAATGTGTCTAGGAGCTGGGGTCCCCCTGCAGAGGTGGGGCTTTGCTGGGAGGGGCTGTGGCCTTTGTCGCAGATCACAGCAAGGCCACCTGGCATCATATATAATGTTCCTGCTACCTGCCCAGCACAGTGCCAGCACTTCACCTGCCTGCTCACTAAACTTCACAATCTCCAGGACAGGGCCACTCTGTTCTTTCCACTTCACAGACGGAAGTTGCCAATTGAGGGCCAGGGGCAGTGGCGGGCAGGTGGCCTCCAGCTGGGGGACGCTGTGTCCACCCCAGCTGATGGGCCCTGCCTGCCCAGTGACACTGCCTGTCCTCTATGCCCTTGTTTCAGGGTAAAGGCATTTAGGATAATAAGAACCCCTCTTCACATTTGCTTGGTGATTTTTAGTTTTCAAAGTATTTTTTTCTAGTGTCTTACGTTGGATCATTATATACAGCGAGGACCTTCTTAGCCTTGTTCCCAGCCCTAATGAAGAAAATATAAGCAAAATAAAAATCCCTCTGAAGTCTTCCTCAACCTAGGGAACACGTGTAAGCTTGTTGTGTTTCATTCACACCTTATGATTAGGCCTCTTTCTCATTATGCGTTTTCACACACCAATGACTTGTCATTCCCTCGTTCTAAAAACATATGCCTATTGTCTAAAGTGTGAAGCCAGGGTAAAAATAAACAAAAGCAGTGCCCAGAATATCACCACCCAGAGGCCATCATTTCTAACATCTCAGAAGTGTTTTGGCCTATTCGTTAAAAGTGTATACAGTTGTGCCATATGTATATATGCCTTAACATAATTAAATAAGGCCGCAAGCTTTACCAAAGATTTAAAAATTCTCCAGAAGAATACCTTTTAATGGCTATAATACTTTGGGATACGCACCATCATTTATTTCAACAGCATTCAATGTCTGGATTGTTAGACTGTTTATAATAACTCTTTGAAGACTCTCTTTGACCATAAACCTTTGCTTGCATTTCAGAATATTTTCATAGGATAGATTCCCAGAAGTGGAATTACTGAATTAAAGGGTGTAAACATTTTCAAGGCCTTTCATATATACTGCCAAACTATTTTCTAGAAGTTAATCCAATTTACACTCTCCCAGCTGCGTTCACACATGCTTGCCCGTCTCACTACATCCTGGCCAACCCTGAATAGATCAAGATTTTTTATTTTTAACTAAAGGAATTCCCCTGCTGTTTTATTTGGTATTTCTTTGGTAGTTAGTGAGGCTGAATATTTTTTTCACATGTTGCTAGCTTTATTTTACTTTTACGTTGCCAATTCCATCTGCTGATTTATTTATTAGGCCCTCCATGTTTTCATATAGAATTGTATGAGATTATGAATAAGGATGTGAAATTATTTATTGTATGCTTGACAATTTCTCCCAGGATTTTGTATGCTTTTGTTCTGTTTATAATGTGTCATGATATACAGCAGTTTTAAGTTGTACCTAATTCAAACCTATCCATATTCTCCTGGGTGACTTCTTCTTTTTTCTTTTCTGCTTAGTTTGTTCCATGTGGGACTGGTTATGTGTGGGTCAAGCTTCCCAGTCTCTGGGTTGCCCTCTCATTTAGGAACATCTTCACCAGCACCCCATCTTTCAGTAATAGGGACCCAGACCTCATCTACGACACTCTTGTAGATTCTCCCATCCTCCCCTCCATGAACCCTCCTTTCACTTGGACTTCTACCACTTATCACTTCTTGCATTTAACATGGCGGGCATTCTGCCTCATGTGATAAGCAGTTGTTTGTATGCTGTCTTCCTCACCAAACTGTAAGTGACTGGAAGGAGATATTGAGTCTTATCCGCATGAGTCTAAAACAGTACTTTGTATAGAGATCTCTCCACCCCAATACTTAGGAATTGAACTGAACCTATGAATTATATGCGGGAAGTTTTATACCTGTTTTATGGTTAAGAATACAAAGGCTTAGCTTGGTTACATGGTTTGCTGAGGGATTGGTGAAAATCCACATTTTTGACAGATTGTTCTCTATCCTTTGTATTGTGTCTGTCTGTGGGGTCCCCATGTGATAGGTGTCCTCAGGAGCAATGATTGTGAGTACAGAAGGGCAGGAAGTTGGCATCCCTGCCCTTCACCCCAAACCTTGACAAAGGAGAGATCTGGTGGTG